AGAATGTGTTAGCAATGAAGAAATCATTGGATTGGCAGAAACATAAGTAGTTCTCTTGGTTCATTTCTGTTTCCTAGGCCATACAGTCCAACTATGTTTTCCTTCTTACTATTTCCAATTTGGCATTCCAGCCTCCAATTGCAAGATCTCCATCTGGCTTGCATGCTCTGTCAATTTCAGATTGATCTTGACCATAACACTTGTCAACCTCCTCTTCTTATCATCAATGATTAGAACATAAATTTGATAACTGTCATATTAAAGAGTTGTCTGTGAATTCTAAATGATGCTATTCAGTCAATGATTGCAGTTGTACCCAGATTCTTCCTTTGCTGTATCCTTCCTGACTATCAAAGCAATGCTGTTCCTTCTTTGTTTGTTGTCTCCTGAGTTGTGTCCAATTCTAGTCCATTTCAGTTCTCTGATTACTAAGTTGTGAATGGGTATTTGATTCATTTCTTTTTCACTTATTTGAATTTTCCTATATTCATGCTGTAATTCTGTCTTTGCAGCTTCAGATTTTCTTTTCCTAAATGGCAACAACTAGACCTGGAAGACTTTAATCTAGCAGGGTCAAAAACACCATTAATACTCTGAAAGATCCTTATCTATTCCTTAATAGCATGTTGAGTACCATCTGACTGAGGAACCCATCATCTGGCAGTATATAGTCAATCCCTTTATCTTAATCTAGTGTGGTTTTCTTTGTAAAATCCATTGCAGTATGAAATTATACCTTTGCTGTTGTTAGTAATATCCACCTCCAGTATTTTCCTATATCACTGCTGCTCAATATAGCTGCCTTCTTAGATGAAGTAACTTGGATGATCCTCATGCCTTGATAGCCCCACTGGGTTTATATACTCTTAGTGTATAGAACAGTTTAAAAGGCAGAGGGTTGTTTGCTATGTTTAATAAGCTTCCTTCCAATGCCTGAGGCAGTGCAAAGTAGGATAAATTTGCTCTATATAGCCAATCCCCATGTTGCCTTGTTAACAAGACCAATGGGTAGTGTTGTCCTAACAGTTTAATGTTAAGGTACAGCAATTGGTGGATTTCCCTGATGGCAAGAAAAAGATTTTTCAGCTGCTTTGGGGGAGGAAGTGAGTTTTGACTGATGACTAGAGCAGTGGGTTTAGTCATCTGTAGGAACTTGATCTGTGGGTTCTACTCCTACTTTATCAGGAAGCCCCTATCCATTCTGTGGATCACCTGCAGCAGCTGGTAGTAGGGTGACAGAGGCTGCCCAGTCACCAATGTCATCGTACCCCTGGATTAAGCACTGGGGTGGGGTTCCTAGTAAAGTAGGAAAGATTTTCATATTCTGCTGAAGTTCCATATCCTGCTTTACTGGGAAGTCTCTGTCCATCCCATGCATCATTGACAGTACTTGATCTATAGGCATGGGGTGACATTCAGCTACTGTCATGAATCAGATACTGCAGGTGATCCATAGATAAGCAAGAACTAACAGAAAAGAGACTCAGCCTTGTTGGCAGCAAAAACATTTGGCTAAGTGATCTTTCAGTCAGTTAGGGATTTTCTTTTTTCACACATGTCAATCCATGTAGAAAAAAAATGACTCACATACAGGCAGGACTACTTGCTCCGCCCCCATTATGCAATCTAAAAAAACCAGCCAATAAGAGCTGAGCAGATCCTACCACCTGCTATATCATCACCTCAGCCACCCCACAACATACAAAGAGCAAGTTTTGTTGGGAGAAGATGGAAAACACTACTTTGAGTTCGGATCAGGAAAAAAAAAAAGTTTGCAGGCCTTGGCTATAAACTGGAGATGAGAAGGCTGTGTCATTAAACAAAACACTGGTTAGTGAGGCATCTTCAAGCTGAAGCTAGGGGGACATGTGGATGTGCCTAGAGAAAGGGCATCAAAAGAAACTGAAAACAGAATATACTGTTTTTAAAAAGCTCTGTTAAAAGCGAAAAATGTACTAAGTATTTACAACAATTATATGAAATTGGTTATTTTCACTCTGTTTTTATGGGGTGACCTTCATATTTTCAAGGTGTTTATGAGGTGACTTTTCATATTAGTGTCTAGCCTCACTATCATTCAGACCTTTGAGACAAGACAAACAGATTTAAATTATGCAGAAAAATAAATAGGCTAAAGCAAATACATGTGCAAAGAGGGAAAATAATGTGTAAATGGAATAATCGGTCTGCTATACATCAGTTCATTTGTAGGGAAAATACTATAAACACTTGAACTGTAAGTCTTGCTTTTATTCCATTTGTGAGGCTTGATTAAAAAAAATAAGAAAATATTTTAAAATATTTTAAAATAAGAAAAAAAATAAGAAAAGGAAGATAAAAAAATGTCAACAGGAGAAAATGCAAGATGCAGATTTCTTTGATACTAACTTCAACCCTCCAACCCTGTGTCTGTCTCTGCATTTTGTTTTCTTCTCATTTTCTGTGTCGCTAGTCAAGCTCAGTACAAAATGCCTGCATCGGTGTTACGTACTGTGTTAGATATGCTCTGTCGAAACTCTTGTGAGTTTCTATATTGTGGAAGGCAGAGAATGATGTTGGGGATCAGCTGACCTCAGTAAAAGGCGGTGGAGTTTTTATCTCACACACCCACAGGAACTGCCTCAGCAGCTACACCTAAGAGCAAGTGACCACCTACAGTGCAAAAGCTGGATCTATCTTTTATCCAGAAGGGCCGTATAAGAGGCTCACGTATTAATTAGGTGCTTCTCCTAAGTTGCAGAACAACACAAAAGCTGTCACGTCATTTTAAAAACCAGGTTTTTATCTTTTTATTTCTTTGCTTGTGATTTTTTTTTTAACAAGCTGAGGAGAATGAACCCTTATATTCTGCCTTTTGCCAATCTTTCAAATTTGATAGGCAGATTTCCTTCAAAATTGCCTTCCTGTACAGCTTAGGCAGTGAAGCATAGACTGGATGATGCCAAGATGTAACAAGTGTTTTTCCCAAAGGATTTTCTGCTTGCCTCCTTTCTTTCCTCCCACCATGTGACTGGAACCCTTTCTAGTGCTTTACAGAGAAGAAGCACAAATTTGTACCTCCTTATCATGCTATTTCCTTTTGAGATAAGCAGTATCATGCAGAGCTCAAAAAAGGAGTAAGAAATAGTAAGCCAAAGAGATTAGAGGCACAAGATAACAAAAGGAAAGGAAATATAGTTAAATCTAGTTTACACTCACACCTCTCATTACAACCTTCCATCTCTTTCAAACCATCCTTTTTTTAAAAAGTTTTTTTTATCCTGCCTGCCTTTCTTATTTTTATAAATAATTCAAGGCAGTGTACATACCTGATGCTCCTTCCTCTTCCTATTTTCCCCAGAACAACAACCCTGTGAGGTGAGTTGGGCAGAGAGAGAGTGACTGGCCCAAAGTCACCCAGCCGGCTTTCGTACTTAAGACGGGACTAGAACTCACCGTCTCCTGTTTTCTAGCCTGGGGCCTTCACCACTAGGCCAAACTGGCTCTCCTTGCTCCCATCATGCCCACATACCACTTCATAAAATGAGAAACATGATATGACTGTAGTGATTTTTCTCAGAAGCTCTGGACTGGTTTATGCATCACTTTAAGCCATTATTTATCTTCATTGTTTTTGGCAAAGAGTGACATGTGACTCTGTCTATTATGATGTAATGATATATTTCATCCATGTTCAACAAACCATGTTTCTAAAAAACCTTGACTTATTTTGATGCATGAATCAGGCTGTTGTTTTAGAAATGCCTCATTGCAGGCAAAATCTCTTGATAGTTTGAAATGCTTCATAGGGATCCTGTTTTGCAGGCGATCTTTCTGTGGCTAGAGGCTGTTTGCATCAGCAGTTGGTTAGAAGCGTTTGCTTCATTTTTCAGTTTTTTTGGAGTGAGATCTGGGTTCTTTGTTCTGGCAAAAGAATTAGTAGTAAAATTATGAATTAAGCTGATTGGAAACTTAACAGATGGTTTTATTTTAGTTTTTAGAAGAAGAAGGCGGGGAGAAGGAATATATCCTGCAGTCCATGTCCACAGCTCATTTATATCCATATGATAGATACTTATCTCACCAACCCCATCATCAGATTCATTGGCTTATCAGCCAGGAGTGAGTAATAGTGATAGTGATCACCTTCCCTGATTTAAGAGGAGTGCTGAGGTGGGGTTATCCCCATACCTTTCTTTTGGGAAAAGTTTGCATCCTTTACTTTACTTTAATAAACAAGGGCTTACAAAAAATCAAGAGTGGCTTTGACAAGACACATACACTTATAGCATATATATATAAAATATCCTTAAAAAAAATATGAAACTGGTCTGCGTGAATGCTCAGCCCAGAAACTTGGTCCGGCACCAACCTGGGCTAGGTTTCCCCAAAGCTCCTATTTCTGTTTCCATTTCAACAGTCTTTTTTCTTAGTGCACATTGGACACTGCCAATAGATCCTGATCTCCTTTGGTTTACCCTGGTTGAAAAGTGATGCTTTCATAATGCATTTCGTATTGTTGCAGTGTCTTTGTTGTTTTATTATTCTTGCATACAGACATACTTACAGAGTATGTAAGTCTGGGCTGCAAAAATCCAAACAATCATTAGATGCAAGTAAAGAGAGATGGAAAACTAATTAGTAGTTATCTGGATTTTTGCAGCCCAGATATGGTAGCTCTCCCTTTCATACTCCATATTCTGCACCAGGTTGTGGACCTCTGTGATCTATGATATTGCCTGTGTTTGACAGGTAAGCAGATTTATTTCTTTAGTTCTGGTGTATATGAAACTGCAGTAAGATTAGTGGCTGTGGTTCCTGCTGGTGTTGCTGTTTTTAAAGCACTGAAGTAGTGTGAAATTTGCTAATTTTCCTGTTTGCAGGAACTCCTGTCTCACCACAGCTCCTGGCTACCTGGTTTAACATCTTTTTAACTCTTCCCCAAAGAGACCATTGAGTTTATTTGTTTACATATCATCAGACAACATACAGAATATGAATTAAAGACATAGGTAATTTATTTTCCTTTTTCATGGAGTGGGACTAAGATTTGTGTTATTGTAGTGGCATCTTGTAGTGGCATCTTGGGGTGAGGTAGTGATTAAATGGTATTCTTTGTTCCTTGTTTTAAGGTCAGATGTCAACATGATTCCAGATTGTTTCAAACTACATTTGAGAGACTGGGGAGTGAAAACAGTGGGAAGGCACTAAAACAGTTTCTTAAATATACAGGTAACAACATAAAGGAGTAATGGAGAGCTATTGAATGTTTCTGTGCATTTCAGGCCTCCCCAACTAGGCACCCTCTAGATGTATTTGACTTCAACCCTAATATACCAAGGCTTTGACCATGGTGTCATGGAGATTAAAGGAACTGAAGCCCAACACATCTGGAGGGCACTAGCTTATTTCAACATCATTGCAGTACTAAGAAGTCATCATTTAGTAGAGGGAATACTTCTATTTACACAAGTACCTTGGTGTATAGAAATGATGGGAAAGGAAGTAGAGAGAAAAGCTAGAAAGAAAATAAATGGGGATTCAGTAAAATATGTTTCAAAGTTAGACCATGCATGACAAAAGCTCTTTAAACATTCTGGATATATTGTTTTATGTAATGTGTCTTTCTCTTTCTAAGTAGTTTACCAGTCTATCTGTGGTCAATGGCAGCACAGCTGCATTTAAAATGATAAATATTTTTAAATAGACCTATAAATCTTTTTAGACTTATGGCCTATTTCTTATTTCTTCTTCTTCTTCTTTTTTTCAGCAAGTTGATCATGGATAGCAGAATTTTGCAATTCCTAGGAGAACCAGTAATATTAGCCTGGCCCTGATCTTCCAAATACTTGGCATTTAAATTTACTTATTTAAATTTAGGAACAAGTATACTAGTTCTATTGATTTAACTTACAGGCACTATACACAGATATACACACACATCTGCTATGTCTGGGCAATTTTATATCTTTCTAGGATGGGCCCAACGGTTGGCCAACATCATGGCCCAATTAGATGACCAAGTGATCAGATAATGCCAATGGACTCCAAATGTTCATAGACCGATATATACATTTATGCTGGTCTATGACTGTAATAAAGATTTGATTGATTGATTGATTGATGTATACATAGGAGTTAAAAAAGTGAAACATTTGAATTCTTGTATCATCAATCTATATGCCATCAGTGCTGGATTGCTTGAACACTCAGAAGTGAAAAAAATAGTAGGCAAGCTTCAACCACCCGTGTTTTGGATCCCTGATCCTTCCCCTTGATTAAGTTGGATCTGTGCAGTGGTGAATGCTTTTATGTGGGAGTGGGTGGTCCCATCCACCTTGAAGGGGGTGATTATTTGCCCCCTTCTTGAGAGACTGTTGCTAGACCCAACAGAACTGGACAATTTTTGTCCAGTCTCCAATCTTCCCTGTTTTAATAAGGTTATTGAGAATGTGATTGGTTTACAGCTTGTGAGGACCCTGGAAGAAGCAGATTATTTGGTCCCTTTTCAGTCAGGATTCAGCTCTGGTTATAACACTGAGACATCATTTATCACACTTGTCAATTACCTCTGGGGGGATAGGGGTAGGGCATCCATCCTGGCCCTCCTTGATCTCTCAGTGGTTTTCAATACCACTGAGCATGGCATCCTTCTAGGCCAGCCTAAGGGATTTGGAATAAGAGGCACTCTATTACTGTGGCTGTCCTCCTTTTTCCAGGGCCGGTTCTAGTTCATATTGGTACAGAGAAGAGGTTGAGTCTGAGGCCCCTGCTTTGAGGGGTGCCTCAGGGCTCCACTCTCTCCACATTCCTATTTAACATCTACATGTTGTATGCTGATGATACCCAGTTGTACATCTCTATCCTGGGGTGACCAAGCAATGCCATCAAGGTCCTTTCCTAGTGCTTGGAGGCTGTGCAGGTTTGGATAGGGAAAAATAGGCTTTGCCTCAACCATGGCAAGAATGAGTGGTTGTGGATTTTAAGGTCCCAAGTTCTGGAGATTTTACTGCCTGCTCTATGGAACGGCATCTCCCTGGAGAACCAGATGGCCCCAACCTTGTTAGACTTTCACAAGGCTCTAAAGATCTGGCTGTTTCCCAAGGTGTTTGGGTTAGGAGGTTAGGTGAGCTCTGCTGCTGCTGCTGATGTCATTATCTATAAATGGGGTTGTTGTTTTATTCTTGGGCACTGTGGGTTGTATGCTGTGAGTTTTGTGTTTTATTCCCTGAATGCTGCCCAGAGTCACTACTGTGAGATGGGTGGTTATATAAATTCTCTGAATAGCTGTAATGACGAGGCTAATGTGGCAAAGTTCAACAGCCTATATGAGACTTGGGGCTAGGCCACTATGAGGACTTAGTTACAAAAGAGCACGATTAAGTATCCACGTCAGAGCTTGTGCTGCTTTAGCTAAAATGGACTTTTTTAGTAATAAGCAAAATGGGTACACCTTCTTCTTTTGTTTCCTTTCCTTCACTTTCCAATTATATTAATAAATACAGCTTATGGACCAAAAATAACAGAATGTCACTTAAATTATAAGTGCATTAACAAATTTGTTTTTTGGAACCCATTCCTTGATTTATCTTGCCCCCATTTTTTTTTCAGACATGAAGAATGGTTCATTATTTTTATATTAAATCTTATCTTGACAACTTGAAAAGTGAAACTTAACATTTAAAAAACTAGTACAAGCCAAGAAGTTTGCTTTTTTAATGTTTTGTGCATATAATATACCAAGATTTTATAAAGTCATTTGAGGTCTCCCCTGAAATGCATTTTGAGGGCCATAAAGCTATATATTTACATAATATATTGTGGAATCTCACCTTTCAGCACAGAATCTTGGCTTCTTGCAGTTTTAATCAGATCTTGGCCAACAAGTGCTTTGGTGAGTCCTCCTAACGCTCCTCTGCAACTCAGTCTGTGTGTTTTCTTTCCATTCTCTCACCCAGTGCCAGAATTTTGCTTAGAAAGCAGTCAGCACAAACTGGGCTCTGCTTCTTGTGGATCTGATTAAGCAAGACAAAATAAATTAGTGTTGGAGACCTCACAAGCTCCTAGAGGTACAGTGTTCAAATGAGCCAGCTCCAGGGAGGCAAATTTGGAGATAATTAAAAGGAGAGACTGTAATTTTGCTGACACAGTTTAGCCTTTCTGGTTGCCATGCAATTCTGAAATCTAGACTGACAAAAAGAAAGGTTGGCTATAAATTATTTCATTCTATCTGTACATTTTTGTGAATGTAAGGAGGTATATATCTGTCTGCTTACAACTATCCAGACTGATGTCTAAAAAAGACATGATGAAGGATTATAACAACTGCCAAAGGATTATACATGCTTCTTCCACAGATCTAGCTATAAGGAGGGTACTGATTCATATGAATCAGGATAAGAAGAGATATACAAACAAACCAAATTTATTAACGAGAATATTAAAAAAAAGCAATGTGTTTCCAGGTAAGAGGTGGAACTGCTGTGTTACTTAGCAGAAGTAACATGAAACAAACAACCTTACATACACCAAACTAAATACTGAATAATATTTCTTGATAAATTTAAATGGTTATTACTATAAAGAGATAAAAAAAAAGTTTAGGATGATCCCAGGAAACCTTGACTGCTAAGAGCCAAATTGTGCTTAAAAGATTTATACAAAAATTCCATGTGAATTTACAATGACAATGATCCAATTTGGGGCTTTTCCCCACCTGCATCTAAGCATGGTATGAACATGTCCTGGCAATTTCTTCTCTACTCCATGACATTGCCTTCATTTCATTCCCAGTGACTTACGTAATAAGCATAAGTCATCCTTAGCAGTACCAGCCATCCTTAGTAGCCACAGCAGTATCAGTGTAAGTAGTCCCTCTTCCTTTATTCCAGCAGTGTTCAACAGCTGACTTAGACTCTATCACCCGTTACTTTGGAGGAAGTCCAGGGAGGACTGCAGGGCCTTGAAATAGAGAATATAGGATAGGGAGTGGCAAAGAGGACAGCATAGTTAATGCTAGTAGTTTTCTACTGACTCAAGGATGGATGGATACCAGTTCAGCTAAGCAATGGGGAAAGGTCACTTTTTAATGCCATTTCTGTATTTCATTCTATGTTTATCCCAGGTCGGTCCCATCTTCCCAAAGAAGTCTACTGTGCCTGATACCAATCAAATATGTCTACTCTTCTGTGGGAATGAAGAAGGAAAATAAAAACATCATATACTGGTCATAATAATCTATATTATTCCTCTTCTGAATCAACAGGAGCTGTTGAGTTGATGGTGATGGGGTCATACTGTGTTTGGATGAGAAACACCCTCAGTAAACATGTTCCTACCTCTTTCCCCTAAAATGTTACCTCTCGCAAATTGTAAGTCAGTCACAGATTCCATTCAGTGGGAGTTGGCTTGCTCACTTGCTTGTTCTCTTGACCAATTCTGCATCAGTTCTCCTCCAACCAATGGCTCCACTGAGAATCTGACCACCTATAGTTTTGCTGGAAAGATGTACATATGCAAGCAGAAACATACCCTGGATTACATGAACAGTAGAAATCTGGATGCCTAAGGCTAATTTTTTATTTTAAAATTATTGAAGAAGGGGAAAAAAAAAAAAGGAGCAAACAGGGGCACCTTGCCAAGTAAGTGGAGCTCAGTGGCGCGTTCCATTTGAGGTGTTGACAGTGCATAATAAATCCCAGCCCTACCTAACATTTACAGGAACATTATAAAATGAGTGAAACGGTGTGAGCTGGTTCCCCAGGCAACCAGACAAACATAATAAACAGTCACCAGTGGCAAAAGTAACTTACACCATGCACCAGTCGCAGGCCCGAAATATATTACTTAACTATAACCCCTTTTCTGCTTTTGCAGTTCTTGAAAAATCTTGTTATTATTGTTTCTCAGTCATTTGGGAGAAGCAGGCATAGTCAAAAAAGGGAGAGATCAGAACTTTACCTTACTAGACTCCTGTCTTTATTGCTCTGCATATGAAATTAAGAAGAGCTATCTTAGGTGTTTTCGATCTTGGGATATGAGAATATACTGTTGAGAAAGAAATGGCCATGATCAGGTTAAGATTATCATCATTTTTCCTAAAGTATCCATTGATTGATTGGGTTTTATAAAAAAATGCTGGTAATAATGTGTAGTGGTGATTCTTAACAGGTTCTAGGCATAGCATTTAAGTTGTTATGGTGATGCCTCCCCATATACCATTTAAGTATATTGCATAGTTTTGGTTATGGTGATGCCTCCCCATATACCATTTAAGTATATTGCATATTGCATAGTTTTACTGTTTGTATGGTTTTAATATTAAAAATGTGTGTTCTGTGATCTATGGGGTGTATTCAACTAGCTATCTTTGTATGGTCCACCCATTAATCCATCCTCTCACCATAACCTTGCTTGTATGGCCAACCATAGGGCAGTTACTCACCCCACCTCTGATATCTCATCTGATATCCTTGAAGAGAAGACGGTAGTTTGTTTCCTGTGTAGCAGCAAGGCTGACTAATCATTGAAACAAAACTGGTTAACCCACTAATGTTGATGAAGCAGCCAATGGACAGAAACTTGCCAGAGCTGCCCAAACCTACACGTACTCAAGATGCTCTCAGATGGACAAGGGGCCAATTTTCCAGATTCTTAATCTGTACGGTAACATCCATAAGTGGAAAAGAATCCCTACTGCAGAATTATCACTCTGCATGTGATGCTTTAAGAAGGGCTGTGTAACCGCAGGAGTCAGCTAAATGGCCTTGTATTTCCTTGTAATTTCTTTGCTTTTTCATGCAAGTAATAGCTGTACAGGGCTCCTGTGTCCAACCATACCAGTCATACCTTACTTAATTAAAAGGTCTCAAGGTCTGATAAAGCAGGATGTCTGTTTCTGAACAGAGGGTACCAAGTAAGTACAATAAAGGGGTGAGCTGAAGGGGAAAGCATGGCCATATACCAGTTATAAAGGTTAAGTTTCCCTTTGAGTGAGCTCAACGTCAGATAACTTCATGGACACTTCCATCTAATTCTTTTAGCAAAAATACAGAAGTAATCTGTCATTTCTTCTGGGATTTTTGTTTTGTTTTGCTTTTACTTCCTAGCCTAACCTTCAGCAGTGGCATTTGCTGGTGCCCTCTCATCCAAATACTAACTAGGTCCAATCTTGTTTGATTCTTTGAGATCAACCAAGGTCAGCTAGGTACTTAACCCACTTATCCACAGTTAAATATTCTCTTCAGGTTGAAATGTGGGTTAGTTGATTAATATCTGCTACACAAACTACCAAAGGGAAGTCAGATGGCATTTTGGGGGACACCACTAAGAAACGCTTTTCTAAGACAAGCTGGAGTACATGGAACATATTCTCATAGGTTTCCACTTTCATTGTTTTCCCAGTCTCATACATCTTCCAGAAAAGGAAATGTTTAACATCAGTCACAACAAAGGGGTGGGCTGCATCATATGCTTCTTGCTTTTTGGCGGTGTGCATGGAGAATCCTTCCAGACTGCTTTGGTTTACAGGCTTTGGCTCAGTGACTTGCCAAGTAATAATCTGCTGGCCTGTATGCTTTTGGATAGACAGGCATTATATAAAAATACATCTCTTCTCCATGGTATGAAAACAGAAAGGCAGAGCCTTTGGAGCAAGGTGAAGGCTTTCTAGCTTTTAAATAACAGAAAAGAATTGCCTGGAAGAGACTAATCACCCAACTAATTGAGCAAGCAAATGGACAGAGCAAGAAGAAATTTAATGGAGGAGTTCAACAGAGGAGTTCAAGGGGAAAGCATTTATTTGGGTTTATTTGTTTTTTTTTTCCTGAGAAATCTGGGAACAGAGGGAAGTGATTTCATGAGGCATGCTTATTTCCCTCCCTGATAAGAATTAGCAAGTACAAGGTGATTGCTTCCGGGAAGAGAAGGTGAAGGGGATAGGAGCAAAACTGTCCACTCCTCATCAGGGAAGCTAAAGCATTTGTGGAACAGACATAAGAGGTGCTTGTAGAGGTCAACACTATGAAGAAACCTCCCAGAAGACAGAAGAAAGCCAGGCAAAGAGGACAGAGAGATGAGGTATTATTCTCTGGAGCCTCACAATGGACTCTAGGGCCTTTCCATTGCTGAAGCCCTATATGCCACAAGCTTTGTGGATTAAGAAGAGAACTCTACAGGCTGTGCAAAGGGAAGGATTCTTCCTTCTGCCCTGAAAAGAAGGAAGCAATGGATGGTGGTGATTGGAGACTCTCTGTTGTAAGAGTTGGTTCCCAGACTTCTGATATTCAGAAGATTGTTATGTAACAGCTGGCTGCAAGTGCTGTGTTAACAGTGAAAAGACTTACCTCATCAACAGATCACAGGAAGGCTCTTAAGGGGAAAAAAGTCCCCACCCTAACACAAACAGGGTATAGTAGTTCTAAATGGGAAATAGTTTGATTGCTGGAATTCTTTTAATCCCATCCCTTTCTTCTCAATAAATCTTGTTAAAGAGAATCCAGCGTTAGAGCATGGCACCTACTAAAAGGGATTAAAAAAACAATTGGTTGGCCAGATAGTCTGTCCAGAGATGAGTATTGTCTTCCTGAGGCAAACATTTAAGATGTGACAGAAGGCCCCCAAAGACTCTCTATGCCCACTGATTATTAACTCTTTTTACTATTGCATATAGGAAAAACACAATACAGTCAGGTATAGCCTTTAAGGGACTGCAAGGGACTATGAAGCAGGTCAGGAATGTGAAGGACCTAGTGGCATAGATAATGTGTTCTTCACTGCTTTCTCTTCAATGATGTTGCCAAGGAAGAGAGAAAAGAGTATTGGAAGCAAACAACTAGCTTCACAGATGGTATCAATAGGCACAATTGGCATTCTTTGATAATGGGAGGTGTTTCTGAGATGTATTTATTTATTCAAATTTATTAGCCACCCAACTTCAATGGACTCTGAGCAGTGAGTTAAAGTACTCTTGTCAAGGGATGGGCTGCAGTTCGTGACACCTGGAAACAATATTTTAGGATGTTTTAATAATCTTTTTTTATTTTATTTTAGTAGATATTTAAAGACAGAATCAAGAAGAAAAACAGAAAGGAAAATAAGGGGGGGGGGAAGAGATTTGCAAGCATTGTAAGACTGAATAAAAACATTACCTTAGTGCTACATATTAAAGGTATCAATGTAGAACTTCAAAACATTATTAAAATGAAGTCACTATGTAATAATTAACTACAATAGTCAGTATCAAAACAACGTGTTTGGAAAGCACCTTGCAGAGCTGATGCAGAAGGCTTCTAACTGAATCCTGTGGTGGGGGAGAGAGAAGAGAGCCTAGAAAATAGCACCAAGCAAGTACTGGGGATGGGAACAGGAAGGGTACGCAGCACATGTAAGCCCCCAATAATTATATGTAAAGAGAGGAAGGAAAAGGTCAGATTATTTGACCCAATGGTTCCAATGTCTCTATACAAATGAACAGAGTATGAGGAACAACAGGAAGATTTAGAAGACTTAATGAAAGAAGGCAAATATGCTTTAGTAGGCCTTACTAATAATGATTTAGTAAGTATTACCTGGTGAGATGAAACTCAAGAGCAGAATATAAAAATTGAAGGTTATAACTTATTCAAAAGGAATAGGCCAGACAAAAGGGGAGGTAGGGTGGCATTATGTGAAGGAATTGCACACATGCATTCAGATCCAGAAATCTGAGCAAGAGGGTCCAAGTCAAGAACATTTAGGTAAGAATAGCTAGGCCAAACATCTGGTGTAGAGAACCATGGAGAAAGCATTGAAGGGAATATTTAGAAGCTGTTACAGAAACAACAAGGGCAGAAGCATTTCTTAAGCCCTGGGAAAGGAGTTAGTGTTAGAAAAGGACTTGGGCTGACTCCTCCCTGACTCACTAGGGAATAAGAAAGAGGGGAGGAAAAGCACAGTCAGACTTGCAAGATTCTATTACTATAGGCTATCTCAATAAAGATTATTTCTAGTCTTCCTATGGAGTCAGTTTCCTGATCTGGTCTGCCTAGTAGGATTGACATTTGGATAAAGCAGTGCAAATCCTAGGCTGCATTAACAGAAGTATAGTGTCAAGTTCAAAATAAGTCACTGTTCCATTGTTCATCAGCACGATCAACACAGAATATTGTATCCAATTCTGGGCACTAAAATTTAGGAAGAACACTGACAAACTAGTCCATTTCTAAAAGAGAGTAACAAAAATGATAAGAGAACTGGAAGCGGAGGGGCGGGGGGAAACTATCAAAAACAGTTGGAGCCACTGGATATGTTTAGCCTGGAGAAGAGAAAACTGTTGGAAGACATGATAGCTCCTTCAAAATCTGAAGGGCTATCTTGTGGAGATAGGACAAGAAACAGTGGGTTTAAGTCAAAAGAAATGAGATATAATTTGGACACGAAGAGCAATTTCCTGATGGTAAGAGCTATTTGATAATGGATCAGACTGTCTCAGGAGGTGATGGACTCTCCTTTGATGGAGGTGTTTAAACAGAGATGGATGGACTTCTGTTGGAGATGCTGTAGTAATAGATTCCAGGGGAGAGGATTGGACTATATTACTTTCTTGTTCCCTTCCAAACCTTACATCCCATGACTCTGTGAGGTCCAGAGAAAGGAATTTAATCACACCAATTAAAAAAGAAAAAAGAGAAGAGAAGAGCAAAAAGCCCCACCTCTCACTATAAATAAGGAAAGTAATGCACATCTTAGAAGACATAGAGAAGAGTTAAATATCACCATGAATGTTGCAAGGTTAACATGGTTATATAGTTATTATGAAAAGAACTTCAAACAGAAAGGTTTTTTTTTTTTTAAATGAAGCCATGTAATATTTTCTTCCCCCAAACTGGACATTAATTTAACTAACCTTTTCAGAAAGATCTTTTCATTGTGACAATGTCATAAAGCATTCATCAGTTCTTCTATTCGTTAGCATGGCTTTCCCACTGTAAAGAAAGAAAAAAAAAAACTTCCTTATTTGATGCTACAAGCAGTGAGCACTCTTTGAACAGTAACTGTAAAATGAGTGAAAATCAAACTTGTTGCACAGAGCAGCAGATATAACAGCCATTCAACAATGATCACTCATAATTAAACTGCAGCTTAAGGGACTCTTGGGTGAATGCCATCAAAATCAAAATGGGGTTAGCAGTGAAGGAAAAATAGCTGTTTTCTCACTGATTCTGCTGGCCTGCACACAGATACAGCTTGTTTCTGCGCATGGCCTACACGATCATATCTCTCTGTAAGACCAGTCCCATGCCACATATCTAGGAGGGAGGAAAAGATCATGTTGTTGCATCCTTGATAAATCCTGGTAAACTGAAATATAAATTCAGTCAAGTTACGGCCACTTTCCGACATGCACTATGCATAGTGAGATCCACTCTGGAAAATTGTATTCAGCAGACATACTTGAAATGCAGACAGACAGAGACAGATAGAGGAAGCCAAAGAAGTGAGCTCTTCCTTTGGTATGAAAGTATTTGTTCCTGAAAGAAAACCAGAATGGGCATCTTAGTGATTCCATGATGTATATACTGTACATTAAGAAATGCCTGGATGTATTGAGTCAAATACATAATGATTATGAGGTTTGTGGGATGGCTGTGGGTAATTATAGACTTCTTTGATGATGTGAAAACTCTCAGACACTGAAAACTAAATACCTCATAAGTATTCCATTAAAAGTATTGTTTTCATGTACAAGTACTGCTACATTGCTTGCTGTGTGGTTTGAGAGAAAAAATAGCTGTTCACATTTCAGGTCTGCAGATATATACCAGGTTTTTCCATACTGTAACGTAACTGTTGCCTATACCATCATATGCAATAATTAGTTACAATTCTTTGGGTTAACTGATAGTATTAGTCTATAAAGTATTCCACTAAACAAATTACATTACTTCAGTAGCACTTGATATATATCTTCTGAGTGCTCAGTATAATATACTTTCTGGCTTAGTACACAAAGGTTATTTTGTAGTACATATTCTGACATTCTCATTTTCACCCAAATTTCTAGGAATTTTGTTCAGGATCAACTTCACCAAATTATCTTCTCCTTTTAGGATTTTTCCAAAATTTAGTTTCAGTTTAGATTGCATAATTGGTTGTTTTCTTTTTTAAATGCACCAATATAGAATTATAGAATCATATTATGGTGCCCTTCCAACTTCTTTAAACAGCTCCTCTTAGATCAGTGACTGATACCGCATTAAGGTACGTGTAGAATTTTCAGACTTGGTGCTAGTTTAAAGCAGAATAATTAATACCTTTTTATTGGTAAAACTGATTTTTTTTAAAAAAAAAATAAATGTTTAATAGACAGGCTACTATTTTAGAAGTAGATAAAACATTAACATTCATTGTAGTTTCATTATACTAGCTCTGTATTAGACATAATTTCCAGTACTGACCCTAAGAATTAATAAAATCCTATTCAATGAATAATCAATTATCAAAGTATGACTAATAGATGTACAGTTGATTCCATATAGGTTTGGCTCCTATCAGCACCCAACAGTTGTCATATTTCATCACCTGCAACTAGATAGGAGATAAAGTATGGCAATGCATGTAAAAATGGGATGGATCTTCAATCATTCAGTCACAGCAACATCTTGACTTTTTTGACATCTCCTACCTCCACAGAGATCAGGTGCCAAATGCAAATATCTAAAAAAATATATATTAATCACCTTGGCCTTCCAAGTTTTTTGTATTAAGGCAAAGAAAGGTAATCATAAGTAACCATCATCAGTAATATCTTCTTCCCTTAATTTTCAAAGAAATAATAAAAATAGAGCTGGCTGGGAGAGGCAGAACCAAAAAAGATATACAATAGCCATGGAAGAGGAAGTAGATTATGAAAGATCACTCTTGAAAGTAGAATGATCTCAAATCTAAGTGGAAGAATTCCTTTAAGTCCTTGATTTAGACAAGACACTTCCCTTAAGATACAAAGTGGTGTGAAGTGAGATGCCTTGAATAGCTTGAGTGGATTAGAAACTGTGTAATGTGAAGGCCTCTGTGTATTCTAGATGGTCCCTGTCCATTCTGTAGAAATACAAACTTTGTATTCCAAAAGTGTTTGTAAATCAGCTTTATTGTTACATACATCCACTTTTAAAACATGATATACTTTATTTTGGCAACTGAAGGTTCCTTAGTCAGGTTGGTAGGCTGAATTCCTTCACTAAAGCTCTTAAATGGCACAAATCTCTTTTTCCAAGGAGGCATCAGACCATCTCTTTCCTCCAAATGTAGAGCAATCTTTGGAACAACAGCATTTAGAGCCCCCCACCCTTTGCTAAAGACAGATGTCATAAGAAAAGCAACATCTGCTCAGAGCCAGTCTGCTACTTAAGTTTTGTCACTTACTGAACATTTAAGATTTGTGTTCAGAAAACATCAAGATTTTCTGGAGACCATGGGCATGTGGCACTTCCATAAGACATCTCTGGATATATTTTAACATCTAGATGTAGCATAACTTGTGTAGCCAAATCATATTCTGCAGGATTTTTTGTTGCAAGCAGCTTGATGCATCTTTCAGGTAAGAAAAGTAGAATGCAACTTTCTCATTCTCTTTACAGAGTCGCGTTCGCTGATTTTGCCATATCCATCAGCACACAATGAGCTTCTTCTTTGTGCTGCTCTGAAAACCTCTGTGCTTGATTTATCTTCCCAATATTTTCTTTCAGGTTGTTTTCTAGACGTAGCCAGTCTAGGTATTCAGGTGATGAGTTTCTCACGTTTTCCATCAAATTGTCCTGGCTCTGATGAACTGAGTGGATCATTTCCTGTACTGTTGTACTAACGATTCCTTTGGTGGCAAAGTTCAGCTTTCCCACCTGCTGCTGAGTCTGCTTCAGTTTCTCAGGGACTTCCTTTGCTCCCACATCTAGCCAAAACCTGTATCCTTCCATACACACCTGCACATGGTAAGCACCTGAAAAACAAAGAGATGTTAATTTCAAATGAGTGATTAGGACTAATTGTTTGAGTCTCAAGAAAGCTAAACTCCAGGAAAGCTTCTAATAGTGGCCAACTGTCAAAGATATCACAATGCCATGAAATCCAATTATTTCCACTTTACTTATCAGTGACCCAGGTGAATGCATACATTTATGGGTGTGCAAGAGAGAGATGTAATATAGTAATTTGGTAATATTAAGCCAAGATTAGCCAGACCAGTTGCTTGTAATCCTTGGCATAGCACCAGTGGTGTGCTCTTCTGTGAAATCTTATAAATTTGACGGATAATCCCTTGGCTTTTTCCTGCTACTCATTCAGCACAAAATGATAAGGTATTAGATAAGTCTCCCCAATAAATTTTGAACTAATTTCTTGTCTTTCTCACGGTTGGTTTCACAAACACTGGGCTCTTCTTTATGAAGAGTGTTGCTGGCCTTCTTGGCATTCTTTTGGAAGGCAGGCTTTACATAGGAAAGATCGGATTTAAAGGCACATGAAGGGATAATAGACAGGAAGGTAAGTCTAATTTCACTGTAACATGCAATCCAGGCAGTACAATACTCATCCGGGGATTGGAAATTTAAAATCCTTGCATCTTGGTAATTTACTGAGGCAGAAAATCAAGAAGCTGAATTGATCAATCCAAACAATACTCTCCTGAAAAAGAGTCTGAATTTTGGATTTCCAAACATGTAATTCATCAATCTGAAATAGTAGCATCGAAATATCAGTCTAGGAGTAATAATGGGTATGATATTTTGCTATTTTTTCCTCCAAAAACTTTCTTGGTGGATGAAAGTTTTAGGATTGAGCTGTCAGTCACATAAAGCAGAGATGCACATTTTTTTTTTCTTACCTGAGGGCCAAGATGAATAAAAGGGGCCATGCTCCAAAAAATACTGGGTGAGGCCAAGTCATTTAAATTTAATTAAAATTAATTACAGTTATTATTTATTTACCTACTTATCTTACAATATTTTAAATAGCACCACCATGAAACTAATTTGGGGCAGTGCACAACTTAATAAAATTTCTTTCCAATCAGGTATTTTATTATTTTTCTCCTGCCACATTCAGTATTACAGCTTGGTAACCACGATTGGAATCTCTGTAGTTACATCAACACTTTTGAGGGCCATGCACAGCACAAGACTTTTGGATGTGCAATTCTGTAGAAAATCATTGCTATCCAATAGATTATCCTTTTCACTGCTATACTTGTTCTGTATTCAGAATGTGTCTGATGGTAACAGCTGAATCACTGAAACAACTGCAGCAGTATAGAAGGATGGATTTATATAAAATTTATCTTAAAGAAAATATATTGTCTTGAAGACATCTTAAGTTTTGCTTCCAGGAGTGAAGGCTTTTCTGTAGATGCGTGCAAAACTACTGTTGAACAAAACATCTTAATCCTGAAATGTTCTACTCCAACTACATAATAACTATTGTTCCAAACTTACAAAAAGTATTCTGGTGTTAACTGGAAATACTTCTACCTTAAATTAGTTTATTCTGCAGTTGGGAATGGTCCTTTTCAACTTTAGAATGTTTCCAGTAAGGTCAGAGAGAGACATTTCATGATCTGGACAGTGTTCCAAAGTCAGGATGGGGCATTACAACCCAAAAATTTTTTTTGCACAAGTCTATTTTCCCAATGCAAGCCTCCTCTTTGATAGGGCTTTTCCTGCAAAGTCTAAGTGACTTGCAACTTTGCATGATTACCTGGGCATTCCAGGAAGTGCTGGTGAAGAAAGAACTTTTCGGAAAGGCGGACCACATCATTAACACATGAACAAGGTTGAAGTCTTTTGGTTACCTCATAAATATCACCACACAAGTGCAATCCCTTAAACTTATGTGGTAGATGTTTTAATGTACTTTAAAAAAAAAATTTTAAAGCTAAAAAGTATTCAGTGGTGCAGAACACCGCCCCATTTAAGTGTGCAGTAAGATTGAAGTGGATGTTTCCAAATCCACATATTCTTATCGACTACCAACACTACTACAATGCCTAGCAGTATGTCAAATCATGTATTTATTATCAGAGCATGCTTTGTTCTCAAATACTGTAATATTTGATTTGATTTGTTCTCATAGGAACAATGTACTTGTCCAGGGTAGCACAACTGCTTTCTGCAGAGCAGTGTACATGAAGCATTCATTTATATAGGAAGCAGTAAAGACGTGCCATGCATTAACACTAATAGGTTGTGGGTTCACTCCAGCCATAGAGAACAAAATCTCATTCTTTCTCTGCAGTCTTGGTCTTCTGTTTGTATGGTCTGGTTCTGTTTTGAACATAGTATGTTGGAGTGTTGAGAAATGGTGGGAACCTAGACTGCATCAGCCCCTGTTCCAATCCTATGAATTAGACTTACTGTGGCTGAGCACCACAAGAACAAGAGATTAAAATATGTTCTTGCTGGCAATCCTGTACATCAACATTTTCTCCTTTAATTCTAACTGTTCTCCAGCATTAATTGCTGACCAACTTACTATGTTCCTGCAAGATCTTCTCTATGCATACAGAAAAACTGCTTGCAGGGGAACAGTCATAGGAATCCTTTAAGTTCTGCATAGCTTCCCGGAGAGACAGGCAATCATCTTGCTGCTTATTGAAAGTCTCAGCAATGCTGTTGAACAGTGCATCAATCTCAGGTATGTTGACTCGTTTCATGGTAAGCGGTTTCCCTTTGCTGAAATGAACTAGAAAAATAGAAGCCATGGTGCTATTTTGAATACAATACCACAAGAGTCACTAAATAATAAATAGAAACAAGGGCATTTCCTCTGTACTCTGCTCTGAAATAGAACCTTCAGCCATTTCTGTGCCCAGAATCAGATAGAACATTTCTATTTAGGACAGTAAATCCCACCTACATATTTTTTCTATATGCACTAGCCTGTTATATGATGATACTGATCCTACTGCCAATTAATTTTGTGGGCTTTGGCATTTATACAAGTGTCTTTTAAGTATAAGGCTTATTATGAACACCCTTGTGATGTAAAATATCTCCAGTTGTGGCCATTGGGGAATGAAGCATTTTATCAGGACAATATAATTCAGAGAATGTCTAGTTTCATCTATAGTCTGTATAATTCAGGGAACATCACATATATTGTGCTGAAAGGATGATTTGTCTTTTTGTGCAATGACTTTGTTGGCTGGTATTTTCAAGTACATCCCAAGTACTGTCAGTAGCCAACTCCCATTAACTTTAATGGGAAACTGGCATTCCCAGTCTCTCAGCTCAGTTCTGAAAAATCACAGCCATCATATTTGGAAAGCAACTTTATCAGAATAAGGAATGGAGCCATAATTAAACCTTGAATTATCCAATAAAAATCAGACCAGTGGTTCTATGTCAACATATTTTAGATTTGATTACAGTTTATTTTTCAAACTTGTAGAACCTACAGTAGTTGCATTTTTCCAAGCAATGGGATACATCATCCATTTGTTGGTAGTATTTTCAGAACATGTCACAAGAGAAGGAAGGAAGGAAGGAAGGAAGGAAGGAAGGAAGGAAGGAAGGAAGGAAGGAAGGAAGGAAGGCAGGCAGGCAGGCAGGCAGGCAAGCAGGCAAGCAGGAAATGGAAATCTAGTTAGCTATTTGGCTACAAACCCCCAGTCTTGCTCTATTGTACATCACAATTCACTTTTATTCAGTGAATAACAGCTGAATTAATTATGGGAACATTTTAAAAATGTCTCATTTCTGTGGGAAAAACAATTCATCTTTCATTCAAGAAAGAAGGAAAAACATTCAATTCTAGAATATTTTGGAGAAGATAAACAATCTGTTCCTGTTTCCAGAAATGACATTACAAATTAAATTAGATTCAGACTAGCATTCAGGCTGAAACTGCATTATTCACTACCCTGGTGATTCAAACTTTAGCTAGCTATAGATAGATGGATGGATGGATGGATGGATGGATGGATGGATGGATGGATGGATAGATAGATAGATAGATAGATAGATAGATAGATAGATAGATAGGAATTGTGATCAATTAAAAATGTAAGATTCGTTGAAGAGGTTGATGCATCTTTAGCAAATAGCAGATTGCATTTGCCAAGATAATTTGAGCTGGTTTTATTTAACATGTTTCCTTTCATACTTCCTTGTTATAATTTAGAGTATAATGGATTATACATTATGTAATTATGTGTTGTAGTTTACATCAATTGTTGCATGAAATAAATGATTTAATACTCACTGTACATACATTTTCCCAGACCTAATTTTAGCAAAGATCCATAATTTTTAGAGCTCATACTGTATATATGTGAAAGTTTGGAGCAAAAGGTTTTTTGTTTTTTTTTAAAAAAAGCAACTTTGGTGGCATGATGGTGATTATCTAAATTTTGCTGAGTGAATTCTGAGGAGCACGTGGAATTTTGAAAAGGATTAATTTGGGAATCATATGCATGTTGATTCTGGGGGAGATGGGCGGCATATAAATTGAATGAATGAATGAATGAATGAATGAATGAATGAATGAATGAATGAATGAATGAATGTCAGACTTTGGGATAAGCCATCTTAACTCAAAAGATTTAAATGTTTCTGAGAAACAAAACAGGAGCCTCCTTTCAGCAGCATGATTCCCTATTCATTGTCCTAACTCTTATCTGCTCTCATTTTCCATCTGTGGGATAACTATTTGGAACAGCTGATTCACACAGATGGGCATCTGCAGCAAAGCGAGATTTCATTGAAACACAGTACATGACTTAACCATCACGGAGGAAGAAGCATTAGAGTGGGTGGGAATAATACAAATTAAGGATGTATTCACATAGTTTAAAAGTTGTGATTTGCAGTAAAAAAAAATCTACACTTTCAAAATGATTTCTTGCAACTTCAATTATAATTAATCATAATTCAATTGCTCTATAATATTGAACATATTTATAATACAAAGAAAACCAAAACATTTAAATAACCCAGAGCTTTACCATTTCTGATGTCTTGACGTTTTCTTGAGTGCTGGGCATTCAGAGGTTCCCTCTGTGAAAAAAGTAGGTTGCTTAAAAAACAAATGCATTCACCATGCCCCCAATTTCTTTCCTCTTCCTCTGCTGTCTCTTTTAAATAATAGATTGCCAAACCTTGAAGTCAGAGCCTTGAGTTCTAGAGCTAGACACCTCGTTGTCTGGTATTTTACATCTACTATTATTAAACTTTTGCAAAATTAAGCTGTTTCTCTTAAGGTTTATTTCTTTCTTTATCAGACTTATACGGCTGCCCCTCTCACTGAAAGTGACTCTTAAATTAAATAAAACAATACATATATAAAAACAATCATTAGTAAAAAATATAAAGCAATCATTATTCAATATACAAACCAACATACAAACCATACAGGAGAGAGTGAGTATATCCACTTCAGTAATGGAGGCATCTAGTCATGTCTCTGTTTTCCTGGGATCCCCAGGCCTGGTGATCTAACCATGTCTTGAGGGACTTACAGAACATCGAGAGGATTGAGCCAACCACACCTTGCTCAGGAAGGGGGAGAACGTCCCATAAGGCAGGTGCCATGGGAAGGCCCCCTTCCTGGGACCGGCCAAGTGTAAGTCTCTAGCAGATGGGACCTGAAGCATGCCCTCTCTGCCAGATCTAAAAGGATAAGCAGTTGTAATTGGGGAGAGGCAGTCCCTCAGATAACCCAGTCTCCTGCCATGAAGCGCTTTAAAGGTTAAAACCAGCACCTTGAGTTGGACCTGGAAGCAATTTGGCAGCCAATGCAGCTCGCAGAGCAGAGGTGTGACATGTGCTGTTCTGGAAGCACACATAACTTCCCGCACTGCCGGATTCTTCACCAGCTGAAGCTTCCAGATACTCTTCAAGGGTGTCATGTTGAGTGCATTTCAGTAATCCAATCTGGAGGTGACTAGGGTGTGAGTGAGTGTGAGCAGCCTCCTGATCTAGGAACGGGTGCAACTGGCACACAACACGAAGTCCTGCTCCGCAAACAGGAGTCATGAGTCCAGGAGAAACCCCAGATTGCACATGGGGTCTGTCTAGGGCGGATGCAACCCTATCCAGCACCAGAGATGGCATAGTCCTAGAACAAGCAGGCCCCCAAACCCAAAGCCACTCAGTCTTGCCAGGGTTCAGCTGGAGCCTGTTGTTCCCCATCCAGGCCCTCACAGCCTCCAGGCACTGGGATAAGATATTTACGGCATTGCTTAATTCGCCAGGGACAGAGATATGTAATTGGGTATTGTCAGTGCACTGATGATACCTCACCCCATGGAAATGGATGAGCTCACCCAACAGCTTCATGTAGATGTTGAATAGGAGTGAAGAGAGAGCACTGAACCCTGTGGCACCTCACACAGTAGGGGCCAAGGGCAGGGCCTCTCTTCCCCAAACACCACCTAATGGAATCAGCCCTGGAGAAAGGAAGCAAGCCAGCACAATACCATGCCATCCACCCCCAATCCTCTGAGCCGATCCAGAATGATACCATGGTTGATGGTACTGAAGGCCGCAGAGAGGTCAAGTAGGGCAAAGATAGATGCACAACCCCCATCCTGCCCCTCATAGAAAAAGCACGACAATTGCTGTTTCCATCCCATACCTAGGCCTGAATCCTGACTGAAAGGGATCCAGATAATCTGCTTCTTCCAAGGTCCTCTGAAGTTGCTGTGCAACCATCTTTTCAACCATCTTCCCCCAAAAAGGGAGGTTAGATTATTCAGTATGGTGGGGTCCAGCGATGGCTTCTTGAGGAGGGAGAGAATCAGAGCCTCTTTAAAAGGTAAAGGAACAACCCTCTCACTCAAAGAAGAATTAGCCACCACCAGAACTAATTTACTTCATAATTATTGGGTGAAATGAGATCCTGGGCTCATGGAGTTTTGTTAAAGCAGGACTTTGTTTCTCCTCCATGTTGGAATGGACTCCAAGCAATAGGGTCTACTTGTTTCATACAGGCATAGAACTTCGACTTACAGATCCAATCCCTAGCTCTGATTTAAGAATGTTGGGTTGCAACCTTCTGGACAAACAGAGGTATGAAACCCCAAGTATGTATGTATGTATGTATGTATGCATGCATGCATGCATGCATGCATGTATTTATGTACAGGAGTTATATGGCTGCCTATCTCATACAATGATTCTAGGTGCCTCACAACAATCCATAACACATAGTTAATAATGAAGGTACCCTTCTGCCAGGTGCCAGACCAAACATCCTCACAGCTCAACCCCCAGTCCCCCAGTGCTTGGGAGAAGAGCCAGTTTTTACAGCCTTCTGTAAAGAGTTAAAGGGTAGAGATATGTTGGATCTCAGATGGGAGGCCGTTCCAAAGGGCTGAGGTGGCCACTGAGAAAGTATGATGGATATTTTTCTTAAATTAAGCTATAATGTATAGTGGAAGCATCCGATGGTGATTCTAAAGCATAGTGATGTCCTAGCACTCTCTCTAACCCTTTGCGAGTTCCTAGAATTTGCTGCCCTTTTGCAACAGCAGGAGCATGTGTCATTGCAATAGGAGTATGAGGAGTCAGAGAACATCTTCACAGTCTGGGCATGTGTTGAAAGAACCTGAAGAACTGAGGCATAAGAGTATAATAATATTCATCATCACTGATCAATGTGGCCAATATGGTCTCCTTTTTAAAAAAATTAAAAGTGCTCATGAGATGGCACTACAAATCCATAAGCCCAAATCAGAGATGGTGGGGATGGTAACCCCAAAGATTTAGAGGCCACCAAGTTGCCTGTCCCTAATGTACATAGTCTATTTTATTCAAATTATTTACTAGAGAAAGGCATAAGATACTACTGCTACTGTATACATTATTATAAGTTAATGTTGCAAATTATATTACCAATATTTGTAGTCCTTTATCTACTACATAAAGGACACATAACCTGCACCTCCATTTTCTCTCTCTCCTACTAATTATGAATTTATGCAAGATACATGGCCCTCTTACAGGGCTTTCAGAAGGTTTTGGATTCCAATACCCATCAGTCCCAGCCAAACATGGATAATTGTCAGGGATGGTAGGAGTGAATTCAAACAAGAGGGCTGTTTCCACACTAATGGTTTATACTAAATTCCAGCCACTGCTTTGCTGAAGCATAATGAAGGTAGCCATTATACACAAGCAATGGTTGAGTGATACTATAAACCATTACAGTGGAAACAGCTAAGAAAGTATAAAAGATCTAATGCCCTCCAGATACTTGGTGTGTCCCACCATATTCAATAAATATGGCCAATGGCAAAACATTGTAGGTGTTGTAGCCGGAACCATCTACAGGGTGCCATGTTGTTAATCCCCACTACTAAGGGTCACATGAGCCCTTCCTTCCTCCAACCTAACCTTAGAGTTCAAACTCTTCTACTCATCACAGACATCAAGAATCCACCTCCCAGCTTAATTTTCCACTCCAAATATGCCGGTCTAGCTTCCTTTACCATCTAGATTTGCTAACAAGGATGATGAAGCTTAGATACTTTTGCTTTGCGTTTTTCCATTTACAGTATGATCTTGTTCTCTTACCTCTCTTGAAGGACCTGGGAACAAGGGGCAACAGGTGAAGCAGCAGGAAAAGGCCATTTCTATCAAATGAGATGGTATATATTCAGAATACCTGCTGGACAGCCCCAGGAATCTGTCTTTATGCCAGCTTTGCTAGTAAATGTCAAAGCCAGCTGAAACCCTTTCAAAGAACATTGCTCTGGTGCACTGCAGACCTAGAAACTTAAAGACATAAAGTTATCCTCCCGTCTAGGGAAAAGTCTCTCAGTGAAAAACTGAACTGAAAATCGTGTTTCTGCTCATGGGCATAATTATCCCAAACAAGTCTAACTGGTTTCTCAGCAAATACTCTCTGCATAGTTAAACAAGTCTTTTGCGTTGGAAACGTGACTTCCTCTAGAATGTACCATTATCCTGGGGAGGGGTGTGTGTGTCTGTGGTAAAAGGGAGAGCAGTGAAAAGGGCAGCACTTACTAATGTGCTACAATAATAGATGAATGAAATGTACTCCCTTAAGTCTTTGTCTGTAAAGACTGTCACAGGTCTGCTAATTCTCATTCATTTTTCTATCTTTTTAAATATATACTTCAACCATTTTGAACACATGGGCTCCTAATGTAGAATCCTATTTGTTTTTCATGGACAATTCTCTAGTTCTTTCTACTCTCCCATCAAACAGGAGAATTAATTTATAACAATCGTTGTATTCCTCTTTCATCTTTGAACTTA